CCCAAAAAGCAGTCTCCTCATTTGCAAATGCAAACCTACAGACATAAATGCATAAATGTAACTTCCCAATACATAAAAAGTAAGTTCCGGTTGTGACAGCTCACACCTTTAATCCTAGCAATTCAAGAAGCAGAGACAGATGGGTCTCTGGGAGTTCCAGGCCAGCCAGGGCTACTCGGAGAGACCCTGCCTCGGAAACAAACAAGCAGAGAAGATGAGAGGAGCACAGGCATGCATGCATCTATTGCTCTCTTTTTCTGACCACGAACACACACTGCAACCAATTACTCTCAAACTCCTGCTTCAATGACTTCCCTGTTCAGGACAGACCAGAAGTGTGAGCCAAATAAACTGCTTCCTTCAAAGGCTTGGTCAGGGTATCTTATCAGGGCAATAGGAAGCAAAGCTAAGACAGAGCACAATATGTCAGTGCTGAGGGCAGCAACCTCTCGTGCAGGAGCTCTTAGGAAGCAACAAACAACGAACACTTTTGAACTGTGCGTTGTGAGGAAGGTTCTGTCTGGGGTAACACAGTTATGACAAAATGACAGTAATGACAGTGGAACCAATACCAATCATGTTAAGAACAGCAATTCTTGAACTCCACTGGTCCAGCTAGTTTCCTGCCCATGCTGAAGGCTTCACCAGTCCTCAGTTCTGAAGTCAGACTGCCTCAGCTTCCATCCAAGCTCCTGAAACTACCACTCGACAGCTGTGCAACATTAGGTACCTCACCTCAGCTCTGAGCTTCCATTTCCAGAGCAACACAGTCATTCTCACTTCATGGACAACAGCTATGAGGAGAAAAACAAAACAAAACAAAAACAAAACAGAAAAAGGTAAACATGGGTAAAGAATAGCCTTGAGACTGAGATGAGATTTTTGAAAGATAAAACATACCACATGTGGGTAGGGTGGGGGCGGCACACACCTTTGATCCCAGCACTCAGGAGGCAGAGGCAGGTGGATCTCTGGGTTCGAGGTCAGCCTGGTCTACAGAGAGTTCCAGGACACAGAAAAATCCTGTCTCAAAAAACAGAAACAAAACATACCACACACCATACTTAACTATTTTAGTTTCTGTTAACTTTTACAGCATCTGGTCACCTAGGCATCAGTCAGTAACTTGAGGCTAAAAGATGTCCACAGACTCAAGTAGGGTTTCATGACTTTGTTTTTGTTACGTCAAGGTCACAAGTAGTCCAAGCTGCTCTCAAAGTTACTACATAGCCAGGGCTGACCTTGAACTCTCGATCCTCCTGCTTCTGCCTCTCCAGTGCTGGCATTTACAGGAAAAACTAAATGAGTACTATGGGGGCAAGTGAGATGTAAAAGTAGTTCCCCCCAAGCCAGACCACCTGAGTTCAATCTCCAGTGTAGGGGCATCTTCCTCGATAGTGCATTTGTGTTAATGGCCACACCCCCCTTGGGCATGGCTTCAGGTGATGGAAAGAGGAAGGCGTGAGGTGGGGCTTGCTCACTCTTGGGTCTCGGATTGGATCGGAAGGGCAGAGAAGCGCTACGGAGGTTCTTTAATTTTATCTATTATTATTTATTGTTCCTCAATAAAACACCCATTTATCATTTAACTTGGGTCTAGCGAATTCTTTATCACCTGCCTTCACTCCAGAACCCGTAATCTCTAAAAG